TTATGAGAGGAGACTTAAGGAGCTTGGCTTGTTTAACCTAACCAAACGAAGGCTGGAAGGAGATATGATTGCCCTTTATAAATACATCACAGGGATAAACAGCAGGGAGGGGGAGGAGGAGGAGTTTTTTAAGTTAATGGCCAATGTTGGCACAAGAACAAAAGGTTATAAACTGGCCATCAACAAGTTTAGGTTCGAAATTAGATGAAGGTTTCTAAGCATCAGAGGACTGATCTGGAATAGTCTTCCAAGGGGAGCAGTGGGGACAAAAAAACCTAACTGTTTTCAAGACTGAGGTTGATAAGTTTATGGAGGGGATGGTATGACATTCCAGGGTGCCATCCAGACCAGTGAGGGTCTTTGTCAACCTTGCCCTGCACCCTGGGATGTCTCACAATGCTTTGCTCCTGTAGCTCCCGCCTGGGCTACTCTCAAAGAGCCTGCCAGCCACACATCAGTCACATTCTGATGTCCACTTCCAGGGTGGCCGCAGCATTCTCAAAGTCCTGAATTTCCCCTCAAAACATGTGTTCAGCACTGTCCAGCCCTCTTCTGGAGAGTTTCGATATTTTAGTCCATTGCCCTTTTAAGGGGATCAGTATCCAACAGTTTGCTACTTTAAATGGAATTATCACACAGCCCAGTTTAACCACAATACTGGATTAGTTTTGATTAAAGAATAAAAGACGTTTTTTTTAACGACAGAGAGGTTTTAAGTGAGTACAAGTCAAAAAGGGTTACAAAAGAAGATACAGATGCTTAAAGATAAAATGCTTTCTAGTACTAAAACTTAACAAACCAGACTTGGTTCAAGGTGAAGTCCCTTACTACATGTTCCCAGTAACTTCGCTGACCAGATTCTCAGGCCAGGATCTGTTCTTTTTGTCTTTTTAGGTGAAAGAAAGAGAGATGGATAGGGAGAGATATCTTGGGGTGTTTTTGCCCCTCACTTTGTAGTCCAGTCCCTCTTTTGAAATGCATTTTCCAGAGGGTTATCCCTAGATAAAATTCATTGCTGCTGTTAGGTTGGAGCCTTGTGGTGAAAGAGGTTTCAGGCTATTGTTTGCTAAGATACAGATCTGTTTGTACTTGCCCCTCTTCCTTGCCAAAAAGTGGCCACTTTATAGGTGATTGCCCATCAACTTTTATGATATCTGGTTAGAGGTGTCATCTTGTCCTTTGTCTTTGAGAAGCTGATTTACCCAGACTTGTCTGGTAAATACATTTCAGATCTAATTTAGCTATTTATAACTTTATATATAAATAATCATGATATTATTGACCAGTGAGTTATTAGTTTTCAAATGATACCTTACAATGCATATTTTGTACAAAGATTATTGTAGTAGGATGTGAATACCATAATAGATGGTATGATGAGATTGCCTACACTGGCATGTGGCCCATCTGTGACTGCTACTGGCAAATCTCTCCAACTGCTGGAGATGGGACACTAGATGGGGAGGGCTCTGAGTTAGTACAATGAAATTCGTTCCCAGATGTCTGGCTGGTGGGTCTCGCCATCATGCTTGGAGTCTAACTGATCACCATATTTGGGGTCAGGAAGAAATTTTCCCTCCAGGTCAGATTGGCAGTGACCCTGGGGTTTCTTCACCTTCCTCAGCAGCATGGGGCACGGGTCACTTGCTGGTTTAAACTAGAGTAAATAGTGGATTCTTTGTAACTTGAAGTCTTTACATCAGTAATACTCAGACCTCCATTCTTCACGAGTCAAATTAGCGATCAGCAATACCCAAAAGAGTCACAGTAATGTTAATTGATGTTTTAAAAAAAATTATTTATTTAAATTTATTTACATACACACAGAGCAAAATGACTGGCCAAGTATTATTATTTTATCAACTACAGTTGGTTAATAACATAGTAAAAGAATCCTGATTGGTTAATAATTAAATCACACAGAGTTTTAATATCGTGTGCCACAAAGAGCCTCAGGAGATGCTTTACAGATCCACTTGTGAGCCTAAGTCTAAGTATCACTGCTTTTAAATCATGATTTGAGGACTTCATTAACTCAGCCACAGGTTATGGCTCTGTTACAGGAGTGGGTAGATGGGGTTCTGTGGTCGTTAATGTGCAGGAGGTCAGACTAGATGATCACGATGGTCCCTTATGACCTTAAAGTCTATGAGTCTAAATAAACAAACTGCAGTTAGGAGTTTCAGATGATGCACACACACACAGCTTCAAACAGCTTTGTTTGCTACATTGTCGTTTTGCAAGTTAATAACATCTAATATGCATGATAAGGGATCAGGGATGGGAATTTTAAGGGTTTTTTGTTTAGAAAATGTTAATTAGTACTTCTGTATTTTTAACACAGAGATTTACCATAATTTCCAGAAAATAACATGCTCTTTTCATTGAATTTTGATGCTGAAAATTAAAGGAGGTGTGTGTATGAGTGCATTTTCTCTTCTACATTATTAATTATTGTGAGGGCAAGTAGCGTGTGCTACAGACATCTCACAGAATCCAACAGCAAGCACTGCATTTGTGATGTGACCTCTGAGTGACTCTAGAATTGTTTTGTTTCCCTAGTATTATTATATTGTACCTTATTTGTTTGCCTTAGAGTCCTGTTTGTTGTCCAGGTTCTGAACAGCGTACTTTACTGTTGGTGAGAGGAGATGAAACAGTGAGGAGAGGAAGGAAGAGAAAACAGGAGAGAAGAGGAAACAGAGAGGGAGAGGAGACCAAAAGGAGAGGTGAAGAGGTAGAAAGAAGAGGATAGACTAAGTGGACAGGAGAGTGGGTGAGATTAAGAGAGGTAAAAGAACATTCTTAGCTTTAGCAATAAAAACATAGATGCATGTTATTTTCTGGAAAAGATTATATCTGTTCTTGGCAGCTGTATTGAAAAAATGGGTCATATCATTTTAGTGATCAGAAAATTGAGAGAGAATTAATATCAAAACCCTGCATTTTTAAGTCTCTAAATGCCCATGTACACAGTGTCTAACCATAAATACAATATATGGTGAGTTTTTTATGAGAGACTGTAGCTGAACTAAAGACTTAAAAACCTATTAGGACAACTGTCTATTGACCAAATTTAGACCTGGATTAAATAGGTGCAACTCCTGTCGGGTGTAACTGGATCACAAAACCAGTGTAAATGGAAAAGTAGCACAGCTGCTATCAATTTGGCACCCAGTAGCCTCAGTTCTCAGCTGTGCCAAATTCACGCTCCTTGCAGCTTGGGGAAAGCTGGGAGATGGCTCAAAGCCACTTCTATGCTTCCTTGATCCTGCACTGGCTGATGGCCAGGATTCCCAGCATAATTTAGAGCAGCCTCTAATTTATGCTGGCAGCAACCAATCAGCGTCCTGGGGGATCTGGCAGAGCCCTGTATGCAAACCCGCTCCTAGCATGTCCCACCTCCATCACGCCCTCTGTGTGAAGAAGTGAAACAAGTTGCATTGAGCCAACTACTTTAGCTTTGTGTCACCTGTGGGATTCTCAGCAGGAGTCGTCCAGGGGTGAGTCCCCAGCAAAGCAGCCAGAACAGGGACCAAGGATTTAGCCTAATGAGTGTCCAGACGGAGGATGCAGAAAGTGGGGTGATCAGGAAAAGAAACCTACACAAGGGTATAAAAGCAAGCCTGCCCCACCCAACCACTTTCTTACACCCCTTACACAGCTTGACAATAAAGTAGAGTGGAATCATCTTTGCTTTATTTTTGACTTTACTTTTTGTTTTCATTCTTGTCCTTCTGTCCTTTGGTGTGTAAATTACATTCATTTCCCACACTCAGTTAATGCAATATCCATGTAAATTATGCTATTCTACCACTTACTCCAATCTGCACCTCCCTTTATATCACTGTTGAATTTAACCCTGTGGTTTTACTATTCTATAATGCATAGTTATATTTTAGATGGAGCTGTTAAATTATTTTATCAGTAGTCTGTATTGTTCATACCCAAAGTACATACATGCTTTTTTAATCTGAAGATTATTTGGCTGTCATATTACTATAGAAAGCTGTATGTTTTGTTAATATATAAAAAAACAGTATCATAGAAAGTGAGTTCCTATCCAGGCTGGTAGAAGTGATAGCAGAAGCATATTCTGTCTTTAAGCTAACAGCTTCAGTACTAGATAGTTACCCTCATCAGTTTACACAAATCGAGATAAAAATATATTTGCTACCTTTATCTGTAAGTAGCCTTCCTTTTGTTAGTTTGTGACACTAACTATAACCTTATGAAACATAATGTTTGTGTGTGCTAGCACTCTATATTAACCTGGTGGTTATTTTTCTGTATGGCTACCTGTTTTTAATTATTTTTAAGAGATGGTGTGTCATTGCTTTGTTTGATGGTACCTTGATATTGTGGTGATGGACATCTTAAAAATGCTGATGATCATAATAGTTTATAGCAATGTTCTTTAGTCCAGAAAAAAAAAGTCATAACCAGAAATTTACCAGAGAAACATTACGGTCAATGAATTTATTATTTAAAGTTGGCTACAGTGGCCGCCATCTTAGAATGGGGTGGGGAGAAGGGTTGGTTACATTTTGCCATTTTTCTAATTGTCCTTTTCAAATATTAAGTGAACCACTTCACAGTGATACACAATAATTTGCATGTGACAGAAATTGAAAAATGCTATGAATGTTCTATATAGTGAGATTGTTTTTCTCCTCTTTCTTCTCCCACTTTTTCTCTGTATTTTTTTAAATACTGACATCTGAAGTTATGCCTGAATCTGTAACAAATCAGTGCAAGGGATGGGTGAGAGGAGATGTGTGAGAATATATTTTTCTCATGTTTTTCTTTTTTTTTTTTCATTTTGAAATCTATTGGATTGTGAATGAAGTATTACTTACCAGGAGTATTGTTATATAATTACTGAGTTACTGGTTTAGGAGGCTTTTTTAAATTTGTTTTTAATGACTTATAAGGGGTGTTTAAAATCCTGCATAGGAATCTTCTTTCTTTAAAAGAAATTTTTTTTTCTTCCTTGAAAGGTTGGATAACACATTAGAGGAAATTATATTTAAGCTGGTGCCTGGACTTCGAGAACGTAAGTTTGATTAGTTTTGCTACCTTTTTTGTTTTATTGGAAGCAGCATTTCTAGTGATATTTCTGTATTGTTGATCTGAAACATCACTTTGTTTTTGTTTGATGTTAACTAGAGGAACTTCAGCGTGAGATCGAATTTTGGAAGAAAAACAAACCTCCAGAAAATGGACAAGGTGATTTTTTGTTGTTGTTGTTGTTCTAGCTATAAATTTAATAATGTATCTGTTAAGTAATATAATGGCTTCTCCATAGGCCGCAGTCCACTGCAAATACTTGTGTTTGTGTACAGTTCCATTGAATTCAGTGCTTGGAACTACACAGGTACATAAAATGACACCTTTGCGTACGTGTTTACAGGATCAGGGCCACAGGATCCTGATGTTTGTCTATTCAGCAATTGTAAATTTGAAATCTAACAATTTCATCCTTATTTTTAGTTGCATTTCCCAATAATATTCCCATGTTTGAGATTCATACTACTTTCTGCTTTGAATTCTTAATATTTTTTATACTTGATGTTTTCTACTTTGATCCTAGTTATTATCAACCAGCGGTAAAACATAGAACTATGTGAGTTTTTATATACAGATTAATTTCTGTTATCAAATTTGGCCAGCTGTTAAGTGGGAGCTTGTCAAGAATTAGGTTTGACAAGTAACAGAAATGTTTTTCCACAAGTGCTAAACAACTGCATTATATAGATTCCAGAATGGCTATCTTTCATAGTAGTCTTAAAAATCTTTGAGAGTCCTTTATTGAGCTGATAAGTAATGCAGAAAATCCAGGGGGTTTGTATTCTCTAAACTGGCTTCATGATTTGGATGCCATAGCATGTTTGACTTTTTGTAAACCATTTAAAGACACTCTGTCAATCCAAAGAGAGATTTATGTATGAGGATCATCTGTTTCAAAGAGACATTATCAAGTACTCTTTTTATAATTTTTTATATACTTTCTGTTGTTTATAATATCCTCTTTTCAGTTTGAAAAAATAACATTTCTTACCTCACTAGTTTTGTACATTTACATTTGGCAAACATTACAAGGTAAACTTTAATTTTTTCTCTTCCTATTAATACAATTATTTTAATGTTAGCCTACAGAACAGTTTAGACAAAATTTTACTAGTCCACTACAAATCTGAGGTGATGCTGTAGTTGCACCACAGTTATTACAATTTTCTACATATATATATATACACAAATATACATGAGTTGATTCATAACCATAACCTGCATACTGTGACAGACCCAGACCAATGGGGTACAGGAGTCTGGTAGAGGGC